ATCCACACACACCATTTATCTTCATAGTCACCATCTGCTCATACTGATTAATTGAGGTTGGTTTCAATGTTCAATATTATTATATAAAACTTACCTTTTATTGCAATACTCTATACTTACTTTGACAAATACTTATACAGAAGTACTACAATGGATAACACAAATAAGGATCGCCCCCAAATAATCAGTTCGGATAATTGTCAAGGTAAAATATTCATGATAATATTCATAACTATATTAAATTCTTCTTCTAAACATTTATTTTATAATACAGATACAACTGAAGAATCAAGCAAATCGGTTAAATTGGTGTATGAAAATATTATGCAACATCGAATTGCATATTTGAGAAAGGAACAAGAGCAGTTGAAAAAATATATATACAGAGAAGCTTCACAAGATCAAACCAACAAAGAATAATATGACATTTTATATGTATTGGCTTCTATGTAATAGGGAGATGCAATAATTTATGATTAGAGAATATATTCTCTAACCATCAGTCTAATAACTAATTATCAGCCGTTGATGATGTATTTCTTTATATATTTAAGCAATGAAAATAAAGTATTTTTTTAATAGAGCATATATTTTGACTTATTCATTAAGAATGTATTATTCTTATATTAAATAGATACTAAAGTTGATAAGTTTCATCAAGCATCATCATTTCAAATGAAAAGATAATGATTTCCTCAAATAATATTATCATATAATTAATCCAAAAGAAAAAAAAATCCTAACACATCTATTAATCCTCGCGCGAAGCGCAAACATGTTCCCTAGTTTGAGAATAAGAGGGGCTAATATCTTTCATTAAATTTATAATGATATAATTAAAATCAACATGAATGGTTCATTGTCGATTCAAAATTCAAACTTGAGGAATGAAATACAACCAGAGAGGAAACCATCGTCTCAAAATAGATCAAAATTATCATAAAATGCACAACCCTTCTCAAAAGTCACAACTCTTTAGAAAGGTCACCACTCATCCAAAAAGTGACAACTCTTAGAAAAGTTACAACCTTTCAAAAAAAATTAGAACTCTTTGAAAAAGTTACAACCATCCTGAAAAGTTGAAACCCTTTGAAAAAGCCACAACTCATTGGAGAAATCACACTTTTTAAAAAAGTTACAATTTTCACTATGAAAAGATATATGCTTTTGATATATTTTTATAATATAAATAATTAAATAAATATAATATTGTATAAAATATAAAAGATATACTAAATTGGATGTTTTAAGTTGAACATATTATTGTAATTTAATATTCAAGTCAGAGAGTTCATGCTTTTAAAATGGTATATATATAGAGAGATATGTTATCACACATTTCTTACATTTTTCTTCTTAACCTTTCACATTCTTTATTCATAAAAGTTGAAATGTTTCAATGGTTACTTTTCTATTTTTTGTTAATGGTTAATATAGGCAAAAGTTAGTGAGTCTTATAACTATTGTTACTTGTAGCTATTCTTGATTCTCCTAATTACTTGTAATTGTTTTTATTTCTTATATTTTTGCTATTCTTCTTTATTAAGTTGTTTTTATTGTCAAAAATATTTTCAATTTTTAAAATATGATTTAAATTTTGTTTAAAGAACTTAATTAGATCTTTTTATGAGTTACTAACTCTAAAATAATAATGGAACACACATTGAATAAGAGGGGGCTAATATCTTTCATTAAATTTATAATGATATACTAATTAAAATCAGCTTGAATGGTTCATTGTCGATTCAAAATTCAAACTTGAGGAATGAAATACAACCAAAGAGGAAATCATCGTCTCAAAATAGATCAAAATTTGTGGGCTATTTGCCTATTTCATATATATTCTTTCTGGTTCAAAAAAATTTATAGTCTAAAATTTTGAAAGAGTTATTCCCACCAAAATTAAATTTGATACATTTTCACACAGATTAAGGAATAAGGAGAATGTTTCTCTCCCACTTGAGATAGGTATAGGCTGCGGACTGCCAGCGATTACTGGTAAACTCTCTCGTTTTCCACTCTCTTCTTTTGTTCTATCAATCCATAAATTGTTCATTTTTGTTACTGCAAGATATTTGGGAAGTGGAAAAAGGCTACAAATCTTGGTTAAGATTTAAGCTTTTACAATTTAAAGTCATGGGATGAAGTCTATGTTTCACTTGCATCCACTTTTGAAACCCTAAATTAATATAAGGAACTGAAACTATTGAAGAGTTTAGTAGCTTTTTGTCACAATGATTCTGCATTTTCTGATTTTTCTCTTGCAATTCGTTTTTCCAATTAATTTTTCTTTTCCATGTTTTTTTCCCTAATTCATTCTGTTGGAACGAAACTGTTGAACCTTAATGAATATATCACGGTTTGCTTACCAGAGCGCAACTATATTACAGCTTGTTTGAGTTCAATTTGGTATTAATTATATGCTTTGTCTTTGTATGCCATGGTTGTCGTTATTTTTCTATCAATCATGTTTGTCTACACATATTTTGAGCCGCGCGTGTATTAGAAACAACCTCTCTGTCCTTTGGTACAGTGGTAATGTTTGTGTACATCAACTTGTAGAATTAATTACACTGGTTATGCTGTTGTTCGTATGAAATTAAGATATATACTAATATCAGAATGCCTATCTCATACAATTGCCTTGGATTTACGACCTTGAATAGATTTCATTTGCATCTCTGGCTGTTTTCATAAGGCTGATAAGCACAGATTTCAGACTCTAATCTAAAATGAAGCCATTTATTTCATATCCTTTCTGTGTACAAGTTTGTCAACATCTTTTCTTCAACATAAATATCAGGTATTGCTCTAGGATAGGTATTCTGATATTGCCAGTTGGACTACCGGCCATGGAGCCTAAGACTAATTTTCTTAACAGTAACAAATGGTTTTTGCCAAGAAAAGGGAAACAACAAACAATGAGACGTGATTTGTTAAATGTGCACTAAAGTTTCTTATACTAAATTTGAACTGTACTGCTTTAACTACGTTTTAATTTTTATCTAGCTAAAACTTCTTGATTCTTGTCCATCTGATGTTGTTATCCATGATAATAATGACATATAGTTGTCTTTTTTCTTCTTTTTTTCCTAGAAGATTAATCTGTATCTGGAAAGATTGGCAGTCGACTTGAAGTTGGCTTTGGGCTACAATCAGTATCATGACTCGGTAAGAAATTCTTATCCTATTTATGTTTCTTATTACGATGTCATTTGTTTATTACTCTTTTAATATCCTTTTGACATTTTTGTTTTAAGATCCATATATATGATAGCAACTAGTTGAGGATAAGTTTTAGACTTGTTAGAGAACTTTTAATATTATTACGGAAAAGAGCCATAAAAATACCTTTAACATATGGAAAATGGTTCACAAATATTCTCCTTTCACATTTTGGTCCAAAAAATACCCTCAACCTTTATTTTTGGTGGAAGGATTGGTATGTGAAGACTGCAATCTCGATTTGGAATAATCAAACACCCATCTTGATCTCCAAGTTGAATTCACTAGGCATAGTTTTAACCCATATTATTGATATGTTTGTAAAGTATTGGTAATGCATAATTGAATATATATTTGAAGTCTTAATATTGATGTTTGACTATTAAGGTTTGCTCAAGATGTGTCCAAGTATTGGATGGATTTACCGAGATATCCCAAGAAATATATTAATGGTGTTCGATGTTTCTTGGACTTTGCTTACACTGTTGGAGATCCTCAAGGCGAAGAAATCCAATGTCCTTGTGCAGAGTGTTGTAATATCCGTTGGTATAGAAGGAATGTAATAAATGATCATCTAATATGCTATGGATTTGTTGAAGGTTATACAAGATGGATTAATTATGGGGAATGAGATGTTGTGATGAAGGTTGATAGTGACAAAGATGATGAAGTCAACTCAAATGTCAACATTGATGGTAAATCAGTGACAGCAAGTTATCTAAAAATAGATGAAGAAATCAGCAAATTCAAACAGCAATATGCTGCGGATGTTGCTTCTTTAAGAAGTGACATACAAAAATTAAAGGAGGAAGTATGAGAATTACGTCATTTTATGAGTGTATTGGTGCAAAACAACCCTGTATTGGACGTTCTGGATGTGGCTGAGTATTCTGGATCTAACCTACTTTCTCAGGCTGATGTAAATAGTGCAAGGGGCATGAGAGGGCAAAATCTTTCGCATACCTCTGAATCAACTCATTAGCCATGAAAAGGTATTTTGCACTATTTAATATTTCGCTCATTACCATAGTTTCACTATTGGTAAGCTTTAGCTATGCAAAATTGAGATACAATTGGTGAATCATTATACTTATATCATATGTTATTGTTGTACAACTGATTAACTAGTGTAGCTACAAAGTGGCTGGATAGAAGTGTCCAAAGTGTTCTCATTATCTTCAAATCAATAGAACTTAGAAGACTGCTAACTTGAAATGCATAAGAGGAAAGAGTTATGATGGGTCACCTATTGTTGTTAGTGTAGCTGAGGGTAAACTGACATTTGAGTTTTTATGTGCACACCTCTGTTTCTGAGACTATATTGGGGATGACAGTTAAGAGCTTCTTTCATATGATATATCATGTCCTTGCATACTCAATTGGTCTTCCTATCTCTCTTGTCATTTTCTTTTCCCTCACTATCATCATTCATGACAGTTTATAAATCTTCTTCTAGACCATAGATGCATCTTTTTAACAAAAGCTTGAATCCAAATACATATGTACAAGTATTAATTTCAAAAGTTTGCAGACAATTTTTACTAACTGAGACAGTACTTGGAGCTTAACAAAACACGAGACCATGATGAACGAATACACCAACCAAGCATGCAAGTGATAATTCACGTATTCTTAGTTACAGATATATAGCAGCAGACACATTCAGGCACTTAAAAAAGGACTAGAGAATCAAACAAGCTACCTATGGCACACATTCAGGTTCATAATTAAAATTCTTGAAAGACATATTTATACGAACTGTAAATAATATTTGTTCAGATTCAGAGCTGCCCTTCGATCCTTGCATTGGTAAGACCAATGCACGCATCCACAAAATCCTCCTCTATGAAGTCTGATGAAAATATTTGTAATCGATCACCATAACCTCGAGAAATACATTCCATTATAAACAACCTTGCAAATGGTTGAATCTGTAGATTCAGTTGTTCCACCCCAGTGTACCAAACAACAGGTTTAGAGTATTTGTCTGTGCTGTCACTGTGTTCTCCACCTTGTTTTATCTGGGATGTTACTGGTCGTTGGTTGCTCAAATGCTGCATATTGCTTTCAAATTTTGTTTCAGGTAAGTCAGTGTTTGTCCAGTCACCTTTTAGATAACATGAACTCCATAATTGACCTCCTTGTCTAAGTTCAGGAGAATTTCTTGGTTTCCAAATGCATATTATTCGTTTTGGCAATAGCTCTGCTATAGTCTTGTTGAAAACATTGTCATCTTGGTGGATGAGAAACTCCCCTAGCTCAGCCTCCAAATACCTGTCAAAATCTGATGGATCCTGTTGGCCAAACTCTCTACTTATTTCCAGGATTATTATCTCTGAATGTGTTTCCAACAGGAATGTCTTGACATCGTTGATAACAACATCAACGTTGTAGCCATTAAGGATGTCATGGCATACAAGTCGATCTTTTTGAACACGGATATCAAAAACACGAACACCAATTACAAGTTGTTGGTAAATGGACAAACGTTGGCATCGACCACAAGGGCGAGTTATGATTGGGTCTCCAACATATTCAGTTGCAGAATTATGTGTACCTGCATATATAGATATTAAATTATGAACGTATAAAATTCAAATTCTAAATCTGTTTTACCTGGCCAAACAATCTGGTTCACATGAAGTCTCTCGGAGGCAAGTGTTGACATCCAATTTTTTCTGTCCTGTACATGATAATCATAACCAGGAAAGTTGCATCCATTTCTGTTCCGGCGATCACGCAAATTTTGCACTTGTCTAGACACCTCGTTACCCATTTTGAGAAGAAGCAATAAAGTACTTCCTCTTCTTCTGGATTTTCTCTCTTTCTGTATACTGTATGTAAAGATCAGTTTTTTGCCTCTTTATATAGTAGGCATAATACATAACAACCCAACTTGTTGTTATATACTCCTCTGTCCCTATTTACTTGTTCATTTTAGAAATGACACACATATTAAGACAATAATGATTAGCATAGTGAAGTTACCATTTTACCCTTATTAATTATGATTTCAAAGAGGATGAATTAAAACTTAAAAAATTTCAAGAAGTTTAAATGAGGCTATAATAGGAAATTTTTTTTGTCCTTTCTTGATTTGTCAAAATGGACAAGTAAATAGGGACAACTAAAGAGGAAATATGGACAAGTAAATAGGGACAGAGGGAGTATGAACTATGCATTGTTTCAATTTAATACCTCAATTTGTAATACATTAGATACTTTTACTGCAAAAGTTCATTTTTCCTTCTTTTTTGGTGTGTTTCATTCATCTATTAGATTGTTAAATTAATCACATAAACTTGCCATTTTCTTCAATTATATACAATTGCCTCAATAAGCTGTAAAACCCAAAGGCAAGGATGACATTGTTATGAACATTTTCTAGTTAAGATTGATGCGCAATTTTTTTTTTTAAAAAAAAAGACGACAAATTTTATGTATGATTAAGCTACCTATTAATAGATGAATGAAAAACAACTCAAAATTCTTTACAAAATCTGAATAAAAAATGTTTAGTTGAAACATTTTATTAGGAGTTGATGTGTTTAATACAAGACTTAATTCGAATGTATAAACAAAATATTCTCATAAATTTAATAAATTTGACTATGTATTAAGCCTTTTAAATATATACATTGTGCTGTAGGAACTTTCTTCAATTATTTATGATTTAGAGGTTGTAGCATTGTGTGCAGGGGTGTTTACGGTTTGGACAAAAATAGATTCAAACTAAAACATCGAACCAGACAGTTGAGATGAACTGATTTTATTTGGGTTTGATTTTAAATTTGTAAAAAAACCGATAGTATTTAATTTGATTATAGTTTTGTTAGAAAAAGAAACAGAAGAAATAACAAAACTCAACCAACGAATTATATATATAGATTTTATTATTATACATACAAAATATATTATTTTTATAAACAATTTAAAAAGTCTTATATATGTTTTCATCAAAATTTATTTATAATTTACTTATGAAAGTAAAAATGCTCAAAGTGAGAATATTTATCTTATTGGTTTCATGTATATAAGTGTCTATGACAATTCTTTGTGGATTGAAAATGTTACTGTCTTTTCCTTCTAGGCCAAAATAGTGAATTTTGAAGCTTTATTTATAGTAAATTCAGTGATCAAAAGTTCTGTAATGTCAGTAATTCTAACTCTTTTTCGTTTTGAATGGATTATTGTCACTTTTTCACGTGTTGAATGCGTTGTTTCTTTTATTTTTATGTATGGTTAATAAGCGAATAAACAAACCAAACCGAAACCGATAACAATCAAATCGATAAATATATATTATATTTGAATTGGTTTGATTTTGATAATTTTAAAACTGATTAAGTTGATTTGATTTTGACCAATAACTGCCCAAATCGACCTGTAAACACCCCAATGTGTGTAGGCGGGGAGGGGAGGGGGGGTTTAAAAGTAGAATTTGGAGGGGTGTGGGGAGGTGTTCACTTTTCTTTAAGGGGATAGTTAGTTGACTATTCTTCAAAGACTACAAAAATAAATGGTAAAAAATTCCTTCATGCTTTTTCAAAGTGGGTTATATACTTATATATATAGCGACATTTGAGTTGAGGGAGAATAAGTACACTACTAAAGAACATATGAATATTGATGAATTTGATCATTGAATAAGAAAATTTCAAAATTTTAAAAATATATCGTCCAACAAAATAAAAATACCAGGTCATATTACATAAATATTTCTCCTAGTAGACGTAGAATGTAATGTCATAAAAATTACTAGCATATTTTGTCGTGCAAGTAACCCAAATAATACTAGTTTAAGGCAACTAAGATTCTAATTTATTTCATAAAAAAATAGAAATAATTGGATAAATTGTAAGTATTAATTTTGTAATGCAGTTGGCTACAATTTCAACACGGTATTATCGTATATCATATCAAATCGAAGTTTAATTTACCGATTATTGAATTGAAATTTAAAATATTGGTATTTGATATATACTTTTAACTACTAAGTACCAATTATCAAATTACTAAATCCGAAATTTGAGAATCCCGAATCAAATACCAAATGCCCACCCCTATCTGTGTGTGTTGGCCGGGGGGAGTAGACCTTTATTTGGTTGACTATTCTTCAAGATTACAATTAGGGGTGTACAAAATCGAACCAAGTCAAACCGGAAAAAAAAACCCGACTAGTGGTTGGTTTGACTTGGTTTGGTATTGAAAAAAAACCCGACTATATTTGGGTTGGTTTGGTTTTAACTAAAAAAGACCAACCCAAGACCAAACCAACCCGACATTATATATATAATTTTAAAATTTTATTCTATACATAAAAATATTTACTTTGATATAATCTTTAAATATTTCTTAAACTTTTTCATAGTTTTTATCTTTTAATATATTATTTCAAGTTTGAAATAAAGATTATAGTCCACATATATTGGTAATTATAATAAAGGTTAAATCACAATCAAATTAATACTAATGCAAAAAGAAAATCAATTCAACACTAAGAATGACAAAAATATTGAATATTTGTTCTTTGGTTTTACATTGGTTTACACAATTCAAATACATAATCTAATTTTAATTTCCTTTAATATTTAGTCATGTAACTAATACTCCCTCCGTCCCATTTTATATGTCACATTTTTATTTTGCACTTGCATTAAGAAATGATGTAACTTTACCCTTTTACCCTTATTTAATGTTTTCTTAAGTCAACTTTATAATAATGATGAGTACATTTTCAAGATTAATTAACTAATCTATCAAGGGTGTAATAGGCAAAATATGATAATTTATGCATATATTTTATAAAATGACAAATATTGTGGTCCAACTATTTATAGAAAGGGATGACATATAAAATGGGACGGAGGGAGTACTTATTAAACATATTTTAGCATGTTTTAGTACTTTTAAATTATGATCATTTTCATTATGACTTGTTAATTTGCAATATTTATTTTACGTGATTTCATTATTATTATTTTTTTATTGGATATTTTAGTGTCATTAATCATATCATATTTTGTGTTATTTTCTTAAGAAACACCTTAGATAGTTGTATTTTGGTAGGACTAAAGAAATATTTGAAGTACAAGTAAATTATATGTTTGTATGAATACTTTACCAGAAAAACCCAAAAAAAACCGAGGTTGAAAAACCCGAGTTTTATTGGTTTGGTTTGGTTTGTAGATTTAAAAATCCGACACAAATGGTTTGGTTTGATATTTGAAAACCCGAACCAACCCGACCATGTACACCCCCAATTACAACTTTTAAAAAATAGTTTGGTATGGTATAAGGCATTATAAGTTTAGACATAAAATATAAGGTTGTTTTATCTTGCTTTTGATTAAAGGTGTTGGTGTGGGAATTTTAATAGTGAAAATTACAAAAGAATACTACTTAAGACTTTAATTAACAAAATATCAATGTACTTCTATTTAATTACAAACATAGTTTTTAAATTACATACATAACAAAATAATTAATTTTTGTATTTAAGTTTATTTATTTTTTAAGATTTTCCTCTCTCATGCCTTTTGAATTATGTGCATTTAACGTGGAGATTAATTAGGGATATTAAATTTTTTCAATATTATCTCTCCTATTACAGTTCGATATTTACACGTTTCATTGATTATTATAGGGATCATATTTATTTTTTTCCTTTTTTGATATAACTTTTTATTTTACCAATAAAATTGGTGTTATTATCAATATGAGAGTTATAGTTCCTAGGAAAGTTTTACAATTTTTCTTTTCTGCCAAACGTCTAAGCCCTTCCATATTCTTCTGTTCAAAATTTTTAACCCTTCCATCTTCTTCTTTCCATCTATATCATATCTATACCATCCGATTCACCATAGTTTCGCCATGGATAGGACTCCAAATTTGATTTATAATAGAACATTTCAATAGAATTTGTGTGTGATTGGTATAGATTGTATAACAATGTGTGAGATTGGTATGTAATACCAACATGTCAGACACTATATACCAACATTATTACATATTATATCTTAAGTAGTTGTTAAAAGATTCGATGCATGATGTTGGTATATAATACCAACATTTCATTCAAACCAAAATCTTTTATTTTAAGTAGTGATTTTCAGATTCAATGTTTTAGGTTGGTATATGTTATCAGAATATCAACCAGTATATTTACCCATTTTTGTCGTTATTTGTGTTTAAACAACTATACCAATTGTGTATGTTTAAACAACTATATCAATTGTGTATGTTCTGGGTATTATATAGTACAACCAATCATTACTTTAAATATTTTTTAGCATTTTCAATGTTTTGGTATATATTACCAGAATATCAGCCAATATATTTATCCATTTTTACCGTTATTTGTGTTTAAATAACTATACCAATTGTGTACGTTCTGGGTATTAAGTAGTACAATCAACCAGTATTTTAAACATTTTTTATCATTATTCAAATATCATATCAAATTATTATGTTAATGATGTCTATTATAAATCAAACATTCACTTTAACTAGCTTTAATTGTATTCAATGTTCTTTTATCACCATAAGTACACCAATTGTGGTAGATAGTCACCCAGAATGCAACATTGTATGACAAACACGAGAATACCAAACATGTATGCCAAACAAGAGAATACCAAAGAAATGTCAATTCAAGAGTAATTAAAGTTGGATAAAAGTGCATTTATCAGTTTTAAAAAATTCTGAACTATTGGAAGAAACCATCAACAATAATAATTGAAAATAATACAACAATGTTAATTCTGACAAGCAAAT